AAGCAACAAAAAAAAAAGAAGCTAATTGCAGATTTTTATCTCACAGTTCTGACTTTTTTTTCTGAGTTTATATCACATAATTTTGATTTTGTTTTTCACATTTTTTTTTGCAATTCTGAATTTGTATCTTGCAATTCTGGCTTTTTTTTCAGAATTGTGAAAAAAAAGTCAGATTGTGAGATGAAAAGTTGTTGTTTTTTTATCCGATGGCAGAAACAAGCTTTCATATTTATTTAATTCAATCAGTTAAATTTGGTGAAAATTAGGGATGCATGATATTATCGGACCGATATCTGTATCGGCCGATAATGGCTTTAAATGTACATATCGGCCCGATATAAAAAATTATGCCGATATGTCTTGCCTATAAGAGGAATACGTTAACTCACATGTGCTCAGAGTGTACTAGCGATTAGATCACGTCAGCAGTGTGACTCATTTTTGAAGCAAAGTTTTGCCTGAATGATGATTGGATTCACTGCTTTGGATCGCTGCATTTAAACTGAGAATGCACTTATAAAATGAGGCGTTCGGTGTATGATAGAGTAAACAGTAATAGCACGTGCAACGGCAGCAGCCTCCCCCCGGGTCCTAATGCCTGTTCGGTAAGGAGTATTAATTCCATAGGGGGCGCTGTTGGCCTACTTTTAATAAAATTAAAGTAAAATACACAAATAACATTTAGACTCTTTCTGATTAAATGAAGCAGTAATTGATGTCAGAAGCTATAGCTTACATAAATAAATAAATAAATCACAAACATGACACTTGTAAATTAAATTATTTTATATAGCCTATACTGATTTATTCATTAATGTGTAATATATGTCATATCTTTTAAACAAATTATGAGCTCTAAAATATTTTCAGAATTTTTACACCTCTTTTGCTTTAGACCATCTACAAATGTTTAATCTTAAAATAAAATGTTAAGGTTACTACTGTATCTTTCTGAAAAAAATGCAGTGATTGATATATAGTTTATTTATAGTTATTTTCAAAGCTTCAATGTACTGTCATTATAAATTAACTTCATTATTGTTTATTTAATTCTAACAAATAAGTTCTTGTTAAAAACTAACCAAAATGTAAAATAATTTGCTTATAATTTCCACACAGGAGAGACTTGGTGTTGTTTCCAAACAAAAGGAAATATATCGGTATCGGCATTGGCATCGGCTATCGGCCAAACGAGTTGAAAAATATCGGCATATCGGATATCGGCAAAAATTCAATATTGTGCATCCCTAGTGAAAATGTCGGCAGATTCTGTCTCACGTCACTTCCAACGCGGCAGATCATTTGTGAGCAGCTCACCTTCATCCACACACACACAGGGGCCGTATTCATCTTAAATGAAATTAAACCGGTTCCCTTTTTTGTGTGCTTCTTTAATAGCATACAGCGAGAGGGAACACTATTAGGGAATTACTCACGCTCTCAACGCAAAGTGCTCGACATTCAACTGTGAATGAGGAGCAGTGTTTGCTCAAGCGAACTCCAGAGCACAATCAGGTTTTGCGAGACTGGAGGTAGCTCTGGCTCGAACCGACTGGAGAGCGGCCAAGCTTTTGCAGGAGTTTCTCTTTTCTTCTGTGTGATATTTACTTTACAGCCATTCAGAGCAACCGACCAGGGCGAGACAGACAAGCATGGAAAAAAAGACTAAGTCCCTCTTTAACAGGTATTCTTCTCGAGTATTGACACAACAGTGCGGTTCCAATGAAATCGGGTTCTTTAGTGGAGATGTTGAGCTATGTATGGACTGGAAAGGGTGGTTCACGTGATGGGGAAGGGGGTGGACGTGGGGGCATGGCGTGACTCGTACTCTTTATTGCTGGATAGAGGACTGAGTCTGTCCTCTTTTATGGGAAATGAATGAATAAACATTGGCGGGTCATGCTTTTGTCGTGACTCACAGACATAGTTTCAAGCATGATAGGAATAATAGGGAAATAAAGCAGTTGTGTAATTTGACTGTGAATTCTTTTGGATCCACGCCACGGTGTAAAACACCGGCATGTACGGGCAGGTAGAAAGTCGATTTACTTCCCCTCCTTTTGTGCGCCAGTTGCTATTGTGAAAACTGAGATCTCTGCGATCAGAGACCCAGAGATCGCTGATGCATCTGACCCACATACTGATCTGCCCATTTGTTTTGCTGTGCTGTTGGGTAAATAACGAGGTTTAATTGTTTGGTTGGCCATTAAGGGACAGTTCACCCAAATATGAAACTTCGGTCATCATGTTGTTTGAAACATGTTTTCTGTGGATGTACCGTAATATTTATGATAATGGGATCATAAAAGTATTTTATACAACCTGTGTGCTATATTTCATTTCTCCTGAAGACATACAATAGCTGTTTGGGTGGAACAGACTGTAATTTTAATCTTGCCTTCAGCTGTCAAATCTCATTGCACTTCAATGAGTAATGACTATTTTAATTAATTGTGGTCTGTTTCTCTCACAAAACTATCAGGTTTCAACCAAGGTGAGGGTGTGTAGATGCCTAAATGTTCATTATTTGCTGAACTGTCCCTTTAAGAGTGTAGTTCACCCAAAAAAATGACACTTCTATCATCTTTTTTTCATTCTAATGTCATTGTAGAATATTTTGGGGAATCTACAAACTGATCTTTTCCATACAGTGGAGCTGACCGAAAGTTACGAAAACACCATGAAAGTGCCATGAAAACAGTCGATATGACTTGTTATGGAGCCATACGATTGCTTTGTGTTCAAATTTCAGCTGTTATTTGAGCTCTGAAACCTCACTGACATCTCTTCATCACACAAAGCTGTCATATGACTCCAAAAGAAGAATAAGTATATAATATATATTTTTACATTTTACCTTATTTGTATATTTGTATAGTTGTATTTTGTATTTTGTATTTTGTATAGTTGTATTTTGTATTTAATCTGTATTTATGTTATCTGTATGCACCAAGGGTCTGAGAGTAACGCAATTTCAATTCTCTGTGTGTATGTGCTGTACATGTGGAAGAATTGACAATAAAGCAGACTTGACTTGACTTGAAGTATAGAAAAAAGATAGTATTTTTTGGAGCTTGGCACCGTTCATCGTATCACTTTGATTGAATTAAAAAAGAGCAGCATGAACGTTTTTTGTATTACCCAGAAAAAGAACAAATCAAACTGGTGTGAAACAACAAGGAGAGCAAATTCACCCATAAATGACACTTCTGTCATAAGTTATTCACACTAATGTCATCTTAGGATATTTTGGGAAATCCACAAACTGATCTTTTCTGTACAGTCACAAACAAGCCATAAAAGTACCGTGAAAATGCTCCATATGACTTGTGTGCTTTATTGCAAGTGATCTATGTTATCTGTATGCACCAAGGGTCTGAGAGTAACGCAATTTCAATTCTCTGTGTGTATGTGCTGTACATGTGGAAGAATTGACAATAAAGCAGACTTGACTTGACTTGAAGTATAGAAAAAAGATAGTATTTTTTGGAGCTTGGCACCGTTCATCGTATCACTTTGATTGAATTAAAAAGAGCAGCATGAACGTTTTTTGTATTACCCAGAAAAAGAAAAAATCAAACTGGTGTGAAACAACAAGGAGAGCAAATTCACCCATAAATGACACTTCTGTCATAAGTTATTCACACTAATGTCATCTTAGGATATTTTGGGAAATCCACAAACTGATCTTTTCTGTACAGTCACAAACACGCCATAAAAGTACCATGAAAATGCTCCATATGACTTTTGTGCTTTATTGCAAGTGATCTGAAACCATGTTGTAGATTTGTGCCTGAAATATAAGTTGCTTTTTGATTGTTTTACAGTGTACTTTAGTGCTACTTTCCCATTCACTTTCTTTGTATAGAAAGAGCAGCTAGAACATTTTGCATAACACCTCAAAGAGTGAAATATGCCCAAAAATGACAGTTCTGTCATAACTTATTCACTCTAATGTCATTTAAAGAAATTTTGGGAATCTAGAAACTAATCTTTTCCATACAGTGATAGTAAACTGACCAAAAGTGACAAGAACACCATAAAAGTGCCATGAAAATTGTCCACATGACTTTTGTGCTTTATCTGCAAGCGTTCTGAGACCATGCAATAGATCTGTGTCCAAAATATAAGGTGTTATTAATCTGCTCATTTGCATCTATTCGTCACACAAAACAATCCTATGACGTCATAAAACAGATAATGGATCACTTTTACAGTGCTTTTCATTGTATAGAAAGAGCAGCTTGAACATTTTGCATAACATTTACTGTATTTTTGAGTTCTCCAGAAGAAAGTAAAAAAACAACACAAGGGTGTGTAAATGATGCCAAAATGTTCATTATTTGGCCAACTAGTTGCTTTTTGATTGTTTTACAGTGTACTTTAGTGCTACTTTCCCATTCACTTTCTTTGTATAGAAAGAGCAGCTAGAACATTTTGCATAACACCTCAAAGAGTGAAATATGCCAAAAAATGACAGTTCTGTCATCATTTATTGTCATACGCTAATGTCATAAAAAATTTTTGGGAATCTACAAACTGATGTTTTCCATACAATAAAAGTAAACAGACCAAAACTGACAAAAACACCATTAAAGTGCCATGAAAATAGTCCACGTGACTTTTGTGCTTTATTTGCAAGCGTTCTGTGACCATGCAATAGATCTGTGTCCAAAATGTAAGGTGTTATTAATCTATATGGTTCATTTGCATCTATTCGTCACACAAAACAATCATATGACTTTGTAAAACAGAGAATGGATCACTTTTACAGTTCTTTTTTTCTTTCCCATTCACTTGCATTGTATAGAAAGAGCAGCTTGAACATTTTGCATAATATCTCTTTTTGAGTTTCTCAGAAGAAAGATCAAACATACAGGTTTGCAACAACATGAGGGTGTGTAAATGATGCCAGAATGTTCATTTTTGAGTGAACGATCCCTTTAAAGTTGGTCAGAATCGAGCAGTAGGTGTATTAACTGCAATTTCTGTCTAATATTGTTCGGTAGGACACAGACAGAAACTGGAAGACCCCCCTAAACCGCCGCTGTTCTCCGAGCGCCTGAGCGAGTTAGAGCGTTTACGCCAGACCAGCATGAGAGTTGCCGTGCAAACCCAGAGTCCCCGGTCGTCTCTCAGCGCCATGCCGAACTCCTTCAATCCGCAGGGGCAAACTCAGATCTCAGGTAAACCGGCCCTTCAACTCAACTATTTCAGCCTGTCTGGTATGACCTTTAATGGAGAATGGCTGTGGTTTATGTACTGTACAAACATCAGTGTTTGGAGAACAGGTAGGTTTATTTAAGAGGCCTGATTTGCTGAAGATAAACCTGCGAAGATAAAAGCCAGTGGGCAAGAATGATGCAAGAAATAGAAATGGTGAATTTGACAACGTCGATCAGATTTAAACAGGAGATACTGATGGACGTGCCAAATCTGACAGTCACAAATCCTTTTGTCTACTTTTGAGGCTTTATCTTTGTTTGGGACTGGCTGCTTACATCACCTTAAAGGGATAGTTCACCCAAAAATGAAAACTCATTGTTTACTCACCCTTATTTCAATCCATACCTGAGTTTCTTTATTTAATGGAACACAAAAGATGTTTTGATGAATGCTTCTCTTCATCTTCAAACCACGTCTGTGAAGGACAGAAAAGCATCAGTCCATTCACTACATTCAAGTCTTCAGAAATCATATGATAGTGAGGAACAGACCCAAATATCGTCAAATCTCATTCAAAATGGTGCAGACCAGGTTCTGGCGAAGCCTGATGAAGATTCCTCCTTTTTTGTTCCACGGAAAAAATAACAGCTTACGGGTTTGGAACGACATGAGAGTGAGTAAATAATGACAGATTTTCATTTCTGGGTGAACTATTGCTTTAATTCCATTACATTTGTCCAAATATTTTCATTAGTTCCTGCTTCACTTTTGGCATATTGGAGCGTGGGCTTTTTTTTTGGTTTTTTTGTCTCATGTGTGCTCAGCTTTAAAGTTTGCATAATGTTTGCCATTCTCTTGGAGCGTCTCCAGCCCCTCTCCTGTCAGAGCGGACGCTGTGTTTACTAGAATACTGTAGAAAGCAAACAGGAAACCGTTCTTGGCTCTGAATGTGATTAAGCTATTTACATACCACAGCCTTTTATACTAGTCTGCTCTGTCTCGGTCTCCATATTGTTATAAAAAGAAAGGTCACCCACTTTGTGTGCACAACGAGTCTTTAAATATGGCTCACCAGGAAGGACTCTTCTGAGGGTGAATCTCAAAAACATAATTTTTTATATACCGGTATATATAAAAATTATGTTGTGCATAAAGACTAGTCTATTTCAGGACCCCTGCAATTTTTTGCGTTGTCACATTATTTTCATGACAATTAAACACAACACACCCTCTCCCTATAATGCATCCTGGCTCACCAGGAAGGACTCTTCTGAGGGTGAATCTCAAAAACATCATTTTTTATATACCGGTATATATAAAAATTATGTTGTGCATAAAGACTAGTCTATTTCAGGACCCCTGCAATTTTTTGCGTTGTCACATTATTTTCATGACAATTAAACACAACACACCCTCTCCCTATAATGCATCCTATTTATTTATTTATTTATTTTAATTTACTTTCATTTCAATTGTATATATATGTCAAAGATATCATAACAGTGCAAAACATCTTATAAAAATAGAATTCAATTCCTTTTAATTTGCAAAACAAAACAAAAAAAGTCTGCAAAACATAACTTTTTTTCTTTCGCTTTTAGAGTTAAACATAACCCAACATGTCCCTGACAGCTTTCACAAGATTGGCTCTTTTTTTGTGGTGGTGTGTGATACCGTTCATTTTTGAGGTCACTGTTGTAAACATCACTGAGCTATAAAAGCACTGCTGTGGTCCCGAGAGAAGAGGCTACAATCACACCCAAACACATCTTTGAGGATTCTGTCGTGCAGATGTTGACTGGAGTCGTCTCATTTATCATGCTCACAGATCCACGGCAGGCGCAGTCCTCTCCGCCCTGGTCCTACGAGCAGCCCTACACTCCTTACCTGAGCCAAATGACATCTCCCTCCATCCACTCCACCACCCCGCTGTCCTCCACCCGTGCCACGGGCCTGCCCACCATCAGCGACGTGCCAAGACGCCTCTCAGGTAAACTAACACCTTATAGAAAGTCCAATCACAGACAAGAGCTCTATTATCTCAAACGCTTCAGCAATGAGACTAAGACAATATCTCAAACTGTGCTCAGATTTGATACTTCAATTCTCAACAAGTTCTCCCAAGATCAAATCCACCTTCATTTTATGCACTACTGGCCAAAAGTTGCATATTGGAGCATGGGCAATTTTAATTTTTTTATCATATGCGCTCCGCTTTAATGTTTGCATAATGTTTGCCATTCTCTTGGAGCGTCTCCAGCCCCTCTCCTGTCAGAGCGGACGCTGTGTTTACTAGAATACTGTAGAAAGCAAACAGGAAACCGTTCTTGGCTCTGAATGTGATTAAGCTATTTACATACCACAGCCTTTTATACTAGTCTGCTCTGTCTCGGTCTCCATATTGTTATAAAAAGAAAGGTCACCCACTTTGTGTGCACAACGAGTCTTTAAATATGGCTCACCAGGAAGGACTCTTCTGAGGGTGAATCTCAAAAACATCATTTTTTATATACCGGTATATATAAAAATTATGTTGTGCATAAAGACTAGTCTATTTCAGGACCCCTGCAATTTTTTGCGTTGTCACATTATTTTCATGACAATTAAACACAACACACCCTCTCCCTATAATGCATCCTATTTATTTATTTATTTATTTTAATTTACTTTCATTTCAATTGTATATATATGTCAAAGATATCATAACAGTGCAAAACATCTTATAAAAATAGAATTCAATTCCTTTTAATTTGCAAAACAAAACAAAAAAAGTCTGCAAAACATAACTTTTTTTCTTTCGCTTTTAGAGTTAAACATAACCCAACATGTCCCTGACAGCTTTCACAAGATTGGCTCTTTTTTTGTGGTGGTGTGTGATACCGTTCATTTTTGAGGTCACTGTTGTAAACATCACTGAGCTATAAAAGCACTGCTGTGGTCCCGAGAGAAGAGGCTACAATCACACCCAAACACATCTTTGAGGATTCTGTCGTGCAGATGTTGACTGGAGTCGTCTCATTTATCATGCTCACAGATCCGCGGCAGGCGCAGTCCTCTCCGCCCTGGTCCTACGAGCAGCCCTACACTCCTTACCTGAGCCAAATGACGTCTCCCTCCATCCACTCCACCACCCCGCTGTCCTCCACCCGCGCCACGGGCCTGCCCACCATCAGCGACGTGCCAAGACGCCTCTCAGGTAAACTAACACCTTATAGAAAGTCCAATCACAGACAAGAGCTCTATTATCTCAAACGCTTCAGCAATGAGACTAAGACAATATCTCAAACTGTGCTCAGATTTGATACTTCAATTCTCAACAAGTTCTCCCAAGATCAAATCCACCTTCATTTTATGCACTACTGGCCAAAAGTTTGGAATAAAAATGATTTGTGTTTGGAGAACAGGTAGGTTTATTTAAGAGGCCTGATTTGCTGAAGATAAACCTGCGAAGATAAAAGCCAGTGGGCAAGAATGATGCAAGAAATAGAAATGGTGAATTTGACAACGTCGATCAGATTTAAACAGGAGATACTGATGGACGTGCCAAATCTGACAGTCACAAATCCTTTTGTCTACTTTTGAGGCTTTATCTTTGTTTGGGACTGGCTGCTTACATCACCTTAAAGGGATAGTTCACCCAAAAATGAAAACTCATTGTTTACTCACCCTTATTTCAATCCATACCTGAGTTTCTTTATTTAATGGAACACAAAAGATGTTTTGATGAATGCTTCTCTTCATCTTCAAACCACGTCTGTGAAGGACAGAAAAGCATCAGTCCATTCACTACATTCAAGTCTTCAGAAATCATATGATAGTGAGGAACAGACCCAAATATCGTCAAATCTCATTCAAAATGGTGCAGACCAGGTTCTGGCGAAGCCTGATGAAGATTCCTCCTTTTTTGTTCCACGGAAAAAATAACAGCTTACGGGTTTGGAACGACATGAGAGTGAGTAAATAATGACAGATTTTCATTTCTGGGTGAACTACTGCTTTAATTCCATTACATTTGTCCAAATATTTTCATTAGTTCCTGCTTCACTTTTGGCATATTGGAGCATGGGCAATTTTAATTTTTTTATCATATGCGCTCCGCTTTAATGTTTGCATAATGTTTGCCATTCTCTTGGAGCGTCTCCAGCCCCTCTCCTGTCAGAGCGGACGCTGTGTTTACTAGAATACTGTAGAAAGCAAACAGGAAACCGTTCTTGGCTCTGAATGTGATTAAGCTATTTACATACCACAGCCTTTTATACTAGTCTGCTCTGTCTCGGTCTCCATATTGTTATAAAAAGAAAGGTCACCCACTTTGTGTGCACAACGAGTCTTTAAATATGGCTCACCAGGAAGGACTCTTCTGAGGGTGAATCTCAAAAACATCATTTTTTATATACCGGTATATATAAAAATTATGTTGTGCATAAAGACTAGTCTATTTCAGGACCCCTGCAATTTTTTGCGTTGTCACATTATTTTCATGACAATTAAACACAACACACCCTCTCCCTATAATGCATCCTATTTATTTATTTATTTATTTTAATTTACTTTCATTTCAATTGTATATATATGTCAAAGATATCATAACAGTGCAAAACATCTTATAAAAATAGAATTCAATTCCTTTTAATTTGCAAAACAAAACAAAAAAAGTCTGCAAAACATAACTTTTTTTCTTTCGCTTTTAGAGTTAAACATAACCCAACATGTCCCTGACAGCTTTCACAAGATTGGCTCTTTTTTTGTGGTGGTGTGTGATACCGTTCATTTTTGAGGTCACTGTTGTAAACATCACTGAGCTATAAAAGCACTGCTGTGGTCCCGAGAGAAGAGGCTACAATCACACCCAAACACATCTTTGAGGATTCTGTCGTGCAGATGTTGACTGGAGTCGTCTCATTTATCATGCTCACAGATCCGCGGCAGGCGCAGTCCTCTCCGCCCTGGTCCTACGAGCAGCCCTACACTCCTTACCTGAGCCAAATGACGTCTCCCTCCATCCACTCCACCACCCCGCTGTCCTCCACCCGCGCCACGGGCCTGCCCACCATCAGCGACGTGCCAAGACGCCTCTCAGGTAAACTAACACCTTATAGAAAGTCCAATCACAGACAAGAGCTCTATTATCTCAAACGCTTCAGCAATGAGACTAAGACAATATCTCAAACTGTGCTCAGATTTGATACTTCAATTCTCAACAAGTTCTCCCAAGATCAAATCCACCTTCATTTTATGCACTACTGGCCAAAAGTTTGGAATAAAAATGATTTTTTAAAGATGTTTTTAAAAGAGGGTTCTTCTTACCAAGGGTGCATTTATTTGATTAAACTCACAATAAATACAGTAAAATTGTGACATATTATTATAATTTAAAATAACTTTTCCATTTTAAAATATTTACAAATGGAATTTATTCCTGTGATCAAAGCTGAATTTTCAGCATCATTACTCCAGTCTTCAGTGTCAAGCTATAAAAACACTGCTGTGGTCCTGAGAGAATCACACCCAAACACATCTTTGAGGATGCTGTTGTGCAGATGTTGACTGGAGTCGTCTCATTTATCATGCTCACAGATCCGCGGCAGGCGCAGGCCTCTCCACCCTGGGCCTACGAGCAACCGTACACTCCTTACCTGAGCCAAATGACATCTCCCTCCATCCACTCCACCACCCCGCTGTCCTCCACCCGCGCCACGGGCCTGCCCACCATCAGCGACGTGCCAAGACGCCTCTCAGGTAAACTAACACCTTATAGAAAGTCCAATCACAGACAAGAGCTCTATTATCTCAAACGCTTCAGCAATGAGACTAAGACAATATCTCAAACTGTGCTCAGATTTGATACTTCAATTCTCAACAAGTTCTCCCAAGATCAAATCCACCTTCATTTTATGCACTACTGGCCAAAAGTTTGGAATAAAAATGATTTTTTAAAATGTTTTTAAAAGAGGGTTCTTCTTACCAAGGGTGCATTTATTTGATTAAACTCACAATAAATACAGTAAAATTGTGACATATTATTATAATTAAAAATAACTTTTCCATTTTAAAATATTTACAAATGGAATTTATTCCTGTGATCAAAGCTGAATTTTCAGCATCATTACTCCAGTCTTCAGTGTCACATGATCTTCAGAAATCATTCTAATATGCTGTTTTGCTGCTCACTTATGATTACAACTCAATTATTAAAAATGGTTCTTATTATTATCAATGCTGAAAACAGCTTATTATATTTTGTTAATGATTATGTGATCAATAACAACATTTATTTGAAATAGAAATCTTTTTTTTTTTTTT